TATTTGTTTATATATGACTATTTTAAGAAATAATATTATTATAAAATATTGGTAGTCAAAATTTAAATGAAAGAATATTATTTTATAATGAAATACTTTACAATATATACAAACATTACTAAGTAAACAACAATAAATAGAAAGAAAATAGTCACCTGGCTATCCACCAGTATCTTTCCGGCCTTTTCCTGTTAAATAAACAGTATTGCACACATAGTTTATCAATTTTTTGTTATTCTTCTGTGAGATCAGATTCTCTAGTCTCTAGAAAATAATATTTCATGATTATATCTAAATATAGAAAATAAAGTACTCGCAATTCAACGTTCCATAAATTATTTTACGAGCATCTCATATTTTCTGATATATATTTTTTATACGAAAGAAATATATCATTACGGGTAGAAAGATTTTGATTAATAATAAACCAATTAATAAATATTTATAAAAAAATACTATAATGTATAGCTTAATTATTATAAAAATATTAAATAAGAATGTTCGGCTTATTCGGTAAATGTATAAATGATTATATACTTTTACTGTAACATATACATTGCATTGCAAATTTCATATAACTTTTTGTTTTATTAAAAATTATGAATCAATGAAAAAATAGAATCAAATAAATACAAATTGATTCCACGCACTTTACAATTAATTACATTGATAAAACATGATAGAAGTACTCTTTCGGTTAAATTAACTTATTTTGTCGACTAGCTAATAATGTCTTGCATAAATCCCACAAGTGTCGGGGAGTACATACACCCGCAACCTGAGACTAAGATAGACAGGTAATTAAACTTTGTTAACTTAAAATTGATTAGGAACCACACAGGTTAGTTAATCAGATATTTTCAAGTACCCTACCTTTTGAACTTCTGTGATCATTTTCAATTTAAATTCTAATACATAAATAAACACTTACGTGCATAAAGTAGCTTTTTGAAGTTCAATAAAAAAAAATACAATACAATATGACTGATACGTAATTTGATTTATATTTATTATAATGTGTGATATATGATTGGTATATTTATGTTATCAGCAAAAAAAAATGCAGTTAATTATTAAATTAATTAACTAGAAAATTTAGATACAATAAATAATACTTATTACTATTGCAACCAAAATATAAACTGAAAACAATAATATAATAACAAAAATATAATTCAATTAAACTTATTTTAAATATGAAAAACTACTAAATATATTTCTAAATTGTACAGAAATGTTATAAATGCTAATGATAAATATATTATATTATTTTATCTGAATTTTGCATTTTGTTTCTTTTATAATTTAATTTCTTTTTGTATTATCATTCATGGAAGATTTATTGAATTATGTTACAAAATCTCGTATTAACACGTCCAAATATTTGTTTCTTCTCTACAAAACATTTCAAATTATTATCCTTAACCCTTTGTTCAGGTAAACATAGTTAAAATAAAATATTTTTTTCCTTGGATTTCTTTTGAAGCAAATTAAAATTAAGTTGCCTATAATTTTTTATTAAATTTCAGCAATATTTTCTATAAAAAAAAATATTTGGTACTTTTTGGTAGTCAGGTAATTTTAAGCTTAAATTGTATAATAAGTGAATTATAGCGTTTTATAACGGATCAGTTTTCATATATATTACATTAATAACAATATTATATAAACTTATATTATGGTATTCTGCTGTAGAATGTTTCTTTTCATTACAACATAAAAAACCCTATACTAAAGTAACAAATATTACTTCAATATTCACTTGGTGTTTCCAATTGCAAAACAAATCATTTTTATATACAATATAAAGATTACATTAAAGAATCAACAAGTATTTAGGTCTGTTTCACGTCTCTTTATAATGTAAATAGTACTTATAAGTACCGTTAGACAAAGGGTTATAGCTTTTTTTTGAGTGTATTCGTTTGTTTTTATATAATTTACAATAATTAGGTGGATTTTAGAAAAAAAAAGTTTTACAAAGATATTAAAATTCACTTTATCATTTCCAAAAAAATTAAACTTATATGAACACAAATAAGTCTATTGCTATATTATTGAAGAATTTTATATAAAAAAGTCTAATTTATTCATTTTATTTCAAAAATATAGTTTCTTATTTTTACATATTTTAAAGTCTTTACATTTGTATGTTTTTTTTTCAGATTTAAATTAATAAAAATAAAGTTTGTGTATATATTTAATTAATGTTGTAAATTTACGAGCGGAAACATTTGGGTCAATGTCCTTTTGCATATAAGCTATAAATATATTATATATCATAATAAATACAGTTTGATATTAAAAAGAAAAACCAACTAGAGAAATCGCAATTATAATAACATTGCGCCACTGAATTCGATATTTAAATTAATACGTGAAGTATTTACTTTAGTGGCAATAAATAACACAGGAACCTGTTAATAAAATTAATTTTATTACACGGGGTGACCCGTTCTGTCCCCACTTTAATTATGGAATTTATTAAATGGTCGCTGCGCGAGATTTAATTAAAAATGACATGAATTTTGTTGCGTTTTATTTAATTCGCATTTTAAAATGATCGTAAAATACAGTCGGTCTCCCATCCATCTGCGCACCGCGAAATTGTTAATTAATGAATATATATTTAACGAAAATTAAAACTAAAAAGCTTGATGGACGTAAATACAATTATAATTAAATATGTTTACATCCGCCCCGAGAATCAATACATTTCAATGCTGACAAAAAATATAGATCACTGTTTTCAATAGTTATTATTACAAAGAAACATTCGAAGATTAATATGAAAGTATGATCTCATCTGTTTTACTTGTAAAATACCAAGTTTATAGGCACATAAAAAGGCTGATTGTTAAGTACAAATGCACTACTTATGACTAACGAAGATTACTTGACTAATGAAAATTAAAACTAAAAAGCTTGATAAACGTAAATACAATAATATAAATAATTAAATATATTTACATTCGCTTTGAGATTCAATACATTCCAATGCTGACAAAAAAATACAATACTATTTTCAATAGTTATCATTAAAGTAAGTAACTTTTGAAGATTTATATGTAGTTACGAGCGCATATCTTTTACTTGTAAAATACCAAGTTTATAGGCCAGTAAAAAGAGCAAACTAGTTGTGATACAAGATTACTTGACAAATTGCGTGCACCGGAAGGGAAATCCCAGGAATTTCAAAACATATATACTACACTCACAGCTTGTCATTAAATGAGAAACCGAAATCCTTATGTAGTTTACTTTAATTTAAGCAAAATATGTAGAATTTATTTTTAATATTCGAAAAAAGACATTATTTAAATTTCTAATTAAATCAAAGGTTGCAATAATCAGGTTTATTCATGTTAAATATTTATTATATAATAGAAAAAATAGTTATGTTTATGATCATTTATATCACTGCATATTGAAACTAGATACATAAATCTCGTACACCGAGCAATTCTCTCAGTCTGTAAGGTTTCAGTTAATGTTCGAAGTCTGACTAATGTCCGAAATAATTAGAGCTTTAATTAGACTACCGATATTATTAGCTCGTTAATATCGACGTTAAATTAACACGGACTGCTAATGTTGAAATTGAATAATGCATGAGGTATAGTACTTCATCTATCAAATATTCTGGATTATACTTCAAACTTGACTATATGCAAGATATTAATTGTTTTATTTTATTGAATTGATCGACCAAGGCAAAGGTAATTTTCCAAATGGGGTTAATGTTGTTAACATATACAAACAAACAAAAAAAGAAATATTGGTATAATTATATAATTATTTTTTACTCGTTTTTATATATATTAACAAACATTAATCTAGAAAAAAAATAAGTATACAAATTTAAATGGTAATCATTATTTTTTTTTCCCACATTTCCAAATATTATGCAAGATTAATAATAGTATGAATGCAATTTATTGAAATCCATCAAAAGTATTACAACTTTGGGATAAAGAATAATTTTGACTAGCTTCATTTGTAAAAAAGAAACTTGTAAAGTAGATAATTTTATACCTAAAGTTTGGAAAAATGCCAATCCGAAATAATCTTCTATGTATTATTTTAGAATAAATAGTTTACATACATTCAGAAAAAAAATACAGTCATACCTCTGATAACAAAGCTTCGATATATCGGACGCAATTTCATAATAATATATAAAATTTAATAAAACTTTCGAATCGAATGTATAGTTCGATAAAATACTATTTGAAACTAATCATGATTTGTATTGTAAAGAAAATAATTAATTAAATTACAGCAAAGCGTTGAGGCTATAGCATCAATGTATCCGTTTAGGGTTTATTGAATATTGAACCGTTATGAATGCAAGATCATGTGCATTCATAAAGGGTAAAATAGCGGCAAATTTATTTTAAGCTGATTAAATCAATTTACTACTAAATATTAATTTCGCATTGGGCAATTCTGTATTTTAATAATCCACCAAATATTTGACCAATTATCGAGTATTAATTTGTAATTGATTGACTTTGATATAATGCAAATTAATCCGGCCGATTGGTCCCCAAAAGGGTTGCGCGTTTTTGTTTTTCCACTGTTTTTTTTTGTTGCTTTTTCCAACCCTTTTATTTTGGTCATTAATCCGTGGATCAGGGGAGCCGTTTCCCTGACTGGGCCCTGCACAAATAGTGGAATGTTAGAACTCGTTGATTTGTAAATGTCCGTTTGAAAGTATTGGCGTTTCGGGGCCGTCGTTAGATAAGGGGTGAAACAAAACAAGTGCACACAAAAAAAAACGAATAGACATACAAGAGCAAACGGACAAAGTATCCTAACTACTAACTATTTTACAAACTAAATTACGGCGCGGAAAAGTTCTCTAAACAAAACAATTAATTTTAACGAGAGGCGTTTAAAATTTGAGTTTGAAAAATGCTCGGAGTAATTTATTATCCTGCATGAGAATATTCATGTATATACGTGTGTATATTATGGTTTCTTTGTTTCTCTTTCAGGGTACGAGTGGGTCGGATGGCGGAACGACACCCCCGGCTGGGCAGGTTATCCCCTCGAAATAGTATTCGCATTTGATAAAGTTCGCAACTTTAGTGCCGCTCATCTGCATACCAATAATTTATTCACCAAAGACGTGCAGGTAAGACAACGGAATTAACATAGTATTCATTCATATTTCATCTCGCACCTTTCACATGTTTATTATTTAGATCTTCTACTATGATATTCAAACTTCAACCTACATTACTTGACTTACATTTCATTGTAATAATATTATATCACATTCATTTTTAATTTCATTTGTATGAAAATGTATCGTGGAAAGACTTCGGTCTATAGCCCTTTGGTCATGGTTGAGACGATTAATGTTTAATGAATAAAATGTATTAATTTAAAAATTTATTACAATATGATAAATACAATAAAGCGTCGATTATCCGTGGTAATTCGTGGAATCATAAAGCACAGATTATTCAAAAACCACACGAACCACGGTTAATTGAGACCCGGATAATTGGGATTTTACTGTACATGCATCCTACCATTAATAATATTCATTATTTTATGCAAGTATAATAGCGAATTTTTGCAAAAAGTTCACAGAGAAAAAAATGGGCTGTGTTATTTATTTATATTTTCTGGCTGCGTAAATTTAGATCGCGGATACAAAATACCGAGTGAATTGTGTTCTAATTAACGCGTAAAAAATCTCACATAAAAATAGTGCAGCTGAAACAAAACTTGACATTAATCTATTTAGTATAAATTTTACAGAAGTTCAATATGATTTTTTTACAATATTATTTCTAGTTGCAACTTTTATTTAATCATCATTTTAAATTTACATTCAAGTAAGTAAATTTAATGCCACAGATCTATAAAAGTGTTAAAGATTTATGTTATTAATTAAAGATTTTTGCTATATATTTTGCTTTGAATTTTTATCATTTTACATGACAACAGTCGAAGCGGCGAAAATGTTGAAAAAGGCTGATTTAGATTATTTGACAATATCTATTTTTTTTTGTAACCTCCCTTGTGTGATAATTATAGTAAGGATTGAAGGATTCATTATCCTTCACTAATTTAAGCTGGTAAACTTTTAACGATTGAAATCCAATATTTTCCTGAAATATAACAAAATATATTCGAAAAATGTAAATACAGTGCAAAAAGTTTTACTAAAATATCTAATTTATATAATGTATATTTACTCTAATATACTAAGATATAATTTATTCAGGTTCAAGTTGTGAATTATAAAATATGATTTCAAGACTTCTTTGAATAATATTTTCATTTAATGTCCTGTTAATTTTTTTTGACATTTAAAATTAATAGAACATAGTATATCTCGAACAACACCAGAAATGACGACTTCACTTAAAATTGTTATGAATAAATAAGAACAAATATTAAAGTTTTTTTTGCAATTTGTGAGATGTCTGCAGATGTCCGTCTTGAGCTGCAGAGTATCAGAATTGATCCCTTTGGCATCAATTCATTTATTATTCAACGCGACGAAAGTCCTTCCTTCTATTATAATATAGATGAGATGTTTTAAATGATAAATTATTGTATCCTCGTTTCAGGTGTTTTCCCATGCGAGGATTTTCTTCAGTTTCGGAGGAAACGTGTACAACGGGGAACCGGTATATTTTTCTTACATGCCCGATGTGGTCATGGAGCACGCACGGAATGTCACGGTGAAATTGCATAATCGGGTCGGTCGATTTATAAAGTTGCAGTTGTACTTCGCATCCAGATGGATCCTCCTCAGCGAAATATCCTTCGATTCCGGTAGGTGCTTTTACCTGTCCTCTTTTCGCTCTTCAATACCTCTTTTCGCTATTCTATACCTCTTTGTACTATTTTATTTATCGGCTTGGGTTGGCTATAACAGGGATACACACAAATGCGGTCATTACTATGGGACGTTGAAATAACTTATTGTTTTAGCAGGTCCCATTTGGTGAACGCTAAAATGTTCACATTAATCTCCATCAAATAAATCAAACTGTCTCCCGCAAAGTGAACTGCACCATCGATTGCCCGTTTAATAACCACTTTATTGACTACTTTTGTAATACAGAATTGAAATTTGAAAAAAAACAAATGTATATAGGAATAAAATAAAAAGGGGAAAGAAATGGAACGAATGGAAATGTAGACGTAACGTGCATGGGAATGATAAAAGGAAAATCTGTGTCTGTTGCAGTTCCTGTGAGCGGGAACTACTCGGATGGGGAGGAGGACGTTTCCATTTCGGAAACGGATAATGAGACCGGCAAGGAATATCCACTGCAGCGTGACGAAGTGAAAACCGTATCGAGCAAAAGCAATCGAAATACAATCACGACGACGGATGGGGGAGGAGGAGGAGGTCACGGCGAAGAACAGAACGCTTACATCGGCTTCATCATTGGAATATTAACCGTTGTCATATTGATATTGGTGGCAGCGATAGTCTTCATCGTTTTACGCAATCAGAAGCTGAAGACGTCTGCGGCCCACACGGAGATCCCCAGGCGCGACAAGCAGTTTGGAGATGGCGGCGACCTCAAGGTAACCAATTTCATTTACTCTCAACCTAAATAAAAATCGATCGGTCTAGACGCAACACACTCGAATGATAAATGGAAATTTATACGAAAATGAAGAAAAAAAAGGAAGTAGAGAAAAGAAGGATCCGCAATCTATGCGAGCGAAAAAGAGATGATAGCTGAGAATGGAGCAGAAGAATTGAGACCGGACCGATAAAGTTATTATATTTTTCTATGTCAGTGGAGAGGACCCTCTTTTTAGAGCGTCGGCAACCTAAGTGTCTTAATTTCCGGCAAGACCTCTTTCCACCACACACCCAACAAAAGTCCAGGCCATTTAGATAACCAAAATCCTTAACTTGTGTTTACCAAACACTTGCACTTATCGCATGTTTTCTATTAGATTTAGATGGCCCACAATATCTTCCTTTCTCTAATATTCTATTCAAAATATGATCCTACAAAAAACGCACCCTCATCTACTGTCTATTATCGTCATAAATTTAAAATAATATTTTTACAAAAAGATTTAAAATAATTAAATTTCACAGATAGAAGAATTACTTATATCTTGGAATGATTATTAAAAAATACATTTTCCAACGACTACGTCGTTAAGCGGGAATATCGTTACAAAGCTATAAAAAATGTGCAACAAACTTCAAATTAATTCATATCGTAAGTCTAAACCCGATTGGTCGTAAGTGCGAATGGTCGTTAAGAAGATAGGTCGTAATATGACGAGTGCTTGTACAGCTAATTAATTTTATACATTTAACATATTTATTATATTTTATTTATCACAATCGTTCAGATCTGCGTTTCTCAATATATGGATCTCAAGATTTTTTAATGGATTGATTGACAGCTGTCAAACCTTATGTCAAATTCAGGGACAAACATCTATGTGAGGTCGCTTAAATAAAAGATTGAGAAACATTGGCTCAGATTGTTGAATAAGAAAAAGAATGTCATATCGTCAGTAAAGAATAACATTTATAAAATTTGTAACAATTGATGATGTTTTGATATAATTATTATTAAAAAAAGATAATTCGTTACAAAAAATATTTGATATTATTTGAAACAAGAGTATTTAAGTGTAATTTAAGATTTATAGAATTCATTCAGATTAATGAGTCACAAAATAAATTTAAATCATTAGTAATGAGCAACATTAAAAATTAGCACTAGTGGTTAATAATAAGGAATGATTTTTTTTAATAATCTCAAAACTATCATAATTATAATTTATTTTGTGTATATTGTTTGTATCTATATTTTCTATAGGAATATCTAGTGCGGCTTCAATCAATCTGGATTTTAAAATTTCAAATTAAACAATTGAATTGAAAATAAAAATAATTTATATAGTACACAATTATTTTGTTTGTATATATATCTTTATTTCTCTACAGTCAAGTCCTTTTATGCATTACTATGTATTTTTTCGTTAGATTACTTTAAGTTTGAAACAGTCCTGGATATTGACAGAACCGCACTGCTCGAGATATTAATGTATACTTTAATTAAGATTAATCGAGGACTATAAAATTGCACAAAAAGAGACTTGATTGTATAAAGAAAAGAATCTGATAAATATTTATTTTTACAAATAATTATGATTACAACGCTATTGTTAATGTTTTTTTAATAACTGACATAATACTACGTCTACAATTTCTGACTCATTATTCGTTCTGTTCGTTTAATAATTAAAGGAAAAATTGATTTTACGCGCTGCCCGAGTTCCGTTTTTTCTTCTAATAAAGAAGAGAAAATACTTTCGCAAAGACATTTTTCTTTTGTTACATGGAAGCACAAAAGTGTAAAATTTCATTTTAACAGACCGAGTGCGCATTTGAGGCTTGAATAAAACTTGAAGTCAATTTATGGAAAGTTTTCGACTCGGAACAGGAATCTGGAGAGGCAGAAAAGAGAAAGAAAAAAGTATTTTAGTGTGTGTGCATTTGAGAAAGAGAGGTAAAGTAAGGATCAGCATAAAAGAGTTTTACACTTTTCATGACTGAATCATGCGACCTGATTAAACTAAAGATTACAGATATATATCTGAATAGATATTCAAATAGTTCAAATAGTTAGAATAACATTTCATAAAAAAAAATAACGCAAAAAACGTATTGTTTTATGTAAAATGATGGAAATATATTCAACTGTCAAGTAATTATATAAATGCAAAGATTGTATAAATTATTTTCTAATTCGCCGTTTTCTTCCTTTCATCGCCAGTTTTTACTTTTTGGGAAGTTGCTTGCTTGTAGAGAGTAACTGAAATAGCAGAGATTTTATATAAAGTTTCCAGTTTAAACTTTATACATTAAAGAGCAGAGAACTTAATCAATTTATGCAAAGAAAATAAGTAAGCAGATGAAACAAAAGGTAGAAGAAAATATAGGTAAAACACAAGTCGAGACTATGAAGATTAAATTGAAATTATCAGATTGTTATAAATTAGTAATTTAATCTTCAAGATTGAACACCATTAACAAATTTAAAATAAAATTACTAATACTTTAAATGTCTACACTTTATGTGAAACAATCGTATCGCAATCTGTCAGTTATAGCAACCACAATTAGTTTTCATAATTACACTAATACTAAAATTATGTTTCTGAGTTCATAGCCTTCTATTTAATACTCATGTGTATTTGTATTACCCTAAAGAGAAGGATTATAAATGAAAAAACATTACTCTGTAGCGCCATCTCTTCGCCCAATCGAATACTTTATATGTATATATGTTTTATTGGTTATCTTCAGAATATATTCTATGGTAATAAATTAACATATAATATAAAATAATCTCACAGGTGTCCCGAAAAATCTAGCTGAGACATCTGGACTTGAGACACCACATCGGGATGTCCCAGATGTCCCGGCAAACTAGTAGTGCTTAACAAGTTTATCAGCATTTTCGTTAAATTACTTGATTACAAATTTAAGAAAATTTATTGAAATAAACTTCTTTAAAGTATTGTAATAAAGTATAACAAAGAAGATTTGGTAACGTAATTAGTCTTCTTACGTATCTTGATTTCCGTAATCCCGAACTCGCGTGGCATGCCGCCATATCGCAATGCCAATGAAACGATTAAGGCTGACGGGTGTTCCAGACTTAACTTGATTTTTATCATCTCGCATTATTTTCCAAAATATTTTTTATTCAACTGATCACATTACAAGTAATTAAGAGTAAAAACTCTGATCATAAATATGATATTTTCATTTTATTTCATAATTTAATTCTGTTAATAGTAGTTTAGAAACTGAAACCTTTAATTCAGTCTGTAATATAATATTTTTAAATAAATATGAGAGGAAATGCGATATGAACAGCAAGAGGAGGAAATTAACAATATTTTAATTAATAAAAATCTGTATTTCATGATTTATTTTTTGATGTTTATACCATATTTTTCTCTTTTTTCCGGGTAGATAGATGTTTTCTGCTTCATTGTTTTATGTATTTATTTTCTCTTAATTTTTAATTAATATATATCATCAATTATTTTATATACTGATGATAAGTAATTAACATTTTTATCACTAAAAGTTATTTTGCTTTTTTGATATTACTGCTTTAGTAAATTTGAACTTCGATTAGTATTAAATATTAGTATTTAAAATACAGGCTGTAAGAGCATATAACAGTTATATAGTTGAAAATGTCTTATATACTTTCAGCCGAAATTAGGTAAAATAAAAATTGGTAAAAAAATATAAATGATATTTAAAAATGAAATATTCAAATTATTATATTTTTTTATTCATAAAATGGATTTTTTTATTTAGAAAGGAAATCATGTTTCAAATAATAATTTTATAACGCGAAATTACTTTGGTTACATGTATTTCAATTTCGCTGAATGCAAATATATTTAAATATTGACATAGATTGAAATAAAAAAAAGTTGTATTTCATGATTTATATGCTGGTCCTTATTGTATGTTTTTCTCTATCGATATTTTCAGCTGGATGAATGCGATAAATCGGTTCTCTATCAGGAGAGTTTGCGGTCCGTGTACGCTCGTCAGTCGCATCCTCATAGTCCGGATTACACAGGTAAGTGTTCCTAAATCCTACAATACACGGGTCCGATTTAACCGGGATTAGCCCTTATTTACTTTGCTTGATGCAAACGTGCCTACAACAGCGATATCCTAGATAAAAATCCTTTATATAGATATGTTTGCCGTGGATTTGCTTCTCTTTCGCTATTCTCCGTCTTTCTCTTTGCCTCCCTCACTCCCTTTTCCTTTTCCGGCTTCAACATTATTTTCTGTGTATGCTTATTTTGTGGGTGGATGGTTTGTTTTCTGTTTGTTCAGAAGTACCAGACGTGGTATGTCAGGAATATGCAACGCCCCACATGCACAGGGACTACACGTCGAGTTCCCTGTCACGACCGCCGCCGCCTCTGCAGAACTTCCTACCGAAACCGCCTCCGATCCCGCCGCCACCTGAAAGTTATTACGTAACCTCGCCGGATTTGTGCAACCCGATTGCCATGCTGCCGTCACCGCTGCTGTCTCCCTCATCATTGGGTCTAACCGCATCGAAGATGAGTCGTCACTTCATGTTACCCCTGAGCCCGGAGCCGAATGATTGCATCCGCCACGTCGATGGTCCCAATGATGATGACGACGAGGACGATGAGGACGACCGGGACGACATCGAAATTGAAATCTTCCCACGCGAGCAATTGCAGATAATCGAAAAGCTAGGCGAAGGATACTTCCGCGACGTGCATCTGTGCAAAGTGCATAACTACAGTGAGTTTAAACTGGTCGTGGTGCAAACCCTGAGACTGGAGAGTTACCGTGAAGAGTTCTGCAAGGAGGTGCACGCCTTAGCAAGGATGAAGGACTGCAATATCGCTAGGTTGTTGGGAGCTTGTTTGGACAGTGAACCGATTTGTGCGGTGCGGGAGTACGACGAAATGGGAGACCTGTGCCAGTTTTTGCAGGAGCACGTAGCTGAAACTGTTGGCCCGATTGCCTCCAACGCAAATACATTAAGGTAAAAAGACAAACAACCATTGCTTCCTTCTATGCGTTGTCGTATGCACACATTAAAACCGCACGAACCCAATTTTCAGTTATGGTTGTCTGATATACATGGCCACGCAGATCGCCTCCGGAATGAAGTGTCTCGAGGACCTGAAATACGTCCACAAGGATTTGGCGACGAGGTAATAAAACAACACCCATTATTAATTCGCATTTTAATAGTCCTATTAGTATTGCTGGTCACGGACCGTATTTTCCATTAGACCCTAATGGCAGCACATCCATTCCATCGTAACCTGTATGCAATAACAAAATTTAATTCCCGCTGCATTTCAACATTTTTCTGCCTTCGTTTCGCGAAGATTAATCACTTTCAAGTTTGTTTGAATATGTAGAACGAAGCAGACAGCACTTCGAATATCTTTAAGTAACAAATGATCCCATCATATTATACCAATTACCTATGCAAGTGACACAGATTGAGTACCTGAAATTGTTAATGCTTTACGGATTATTAAACGGCTTAAAAAAAGTTAAAATTTAACACATTACCAAAATAATTAATAATTTTATCTCATTATGCATTAAAATCGCAACAAATAATTATAATAACATTTATTGCAACAGTCATAAAAAGTAAAATAATATAAATATTTATAATTACAAATATAACCAAAAATAAAGAAAGCCTTGCAAAACGCTTCTGACCGTAGGTATTTCCACCTAACAATATTCTTTATTTACTTTAGTTAGACCCAAATAACTGAATTTTCAACATCTTTATGTATTATCTGATTGTATTTATTTAGCTATAATAAAAAATAAATAAATTATATTAGAGAAAATGCAAATTTTTTATTTGTTTCTGAGATTTATTTGCTATAAGTCAATATTTAACATACAATTAGATATAATAAATGTGTACTCAATATATAAAATATTTTTATTCACAAGATTATTATAATTTGTACTAGGTATGAATAATAATATTTTGCAATAAGATTAATAAAAATAATATAATATTTAATATCAAAATACTTTAGTAAACTAGGAAGTAATAAATTATATACAGAAATTTTGAATCTCAAAAAATGTAAATCAAGTTTTAGAATTTCATGAAAAGTCCAAGTGACTGAAAATAGAACTTTTGTAAAGTGAAACTTTATAAGAACTTTTAAGATATAGCTCCTGGCTAAAAGCTTCTAGAAATCCATGTTTAAGAACAGCCAGGCTATTTTATTTCTAATACTTCAAGTAAAAATTAAGGCGTAGGAAAATACTATAATCTTATGTAAAATTAGAGTTTATGAAAGTAATAAAGAACTTTGTTTTAGTTTTAACTATTACTATAAGTCTTTTGAAACTTATTCTGAATTATCAATAAATTAAATAAAAATAATTTTAATCACAATACATAAACTCATGTATTAAAAAAAAATATATGTTTCGATTTTTTTTAAAGATCTCTTTAATAGTGCACACTCACATAGTGCACCTTTGATGAGCGTGGATTCACTATAGTGTTTGAAAATTTCAAAACAAACTAAATTTTAATTCTAATTAATTACTTTTTATTAAGTAATCATTTAATGTAATATCTTTGTTAATCATATGTATAAGACTTATTTTTAATTTTTTTAAATTATGTATTGCGAATATTATTATATTTATGAAGTAGATTCTTAAAGAAATATAAATTAAACAAGAACATAAAAAGTTAATTTATAATTAAAAGCAGTTGCATTTTTAATCACTTTTTATATTTATTTTAAGCAATGTAAGTATTATTAGTTCCATATGTTTTAAGTTGAGTATGCTACCTATTTTTATTTAATTTAAATGTATATAGTGAATAGTATCAATTTGGCTGTAATGCAAACAAATGCGGTTGGGACAGTTAATGTTTCCCTCCGACCGATAAAGCTCCAGGGCTTGTGTCAACCCGTATGCTCTTTTAAAATAAAATCTAATGTATTTCACTGCTAACGCAATGGGCGTCCATTTGAATAAGCGCAACGGAAATATCCTGCCCTAAAGTCTCTTTGTCGACTCCTTTAAGACCGAACAGACTGTTACTTTGTTTATGAATACGAATATATGCACGAGATGTATAACCCGAATTAAAATTTTATTTATTTCTACGATTGGCGTGGTACTGAAAGGGCGGAGAAGCCGGGTTACGTCCCGCCGTAACCCTTTTAACCAGACTGCAGCTTTATTAATATTTGATGTTGGTTAATGCCGGCAGCTGTTTCAATTCCGCGCTTTCTGCTCTCGTATTTGGAAAAATGAAAGAAAAGAAAACAAAACAAAACAAAATGTAAATAGAATAAAAGGGAATGGAAGCGGACGGCGCTGCAACATTGTGCAAATAAATTTTAAGATGAGCACTCTTTCATTTTCAGGAACTGCTTGGTTGGTCACAGGTACTCTATTAAGATATCCGACGTCGGCACTTATCGCCACATCTATGTATCCGATTACTGCCAGATTGATGATTCCAAGCTCGTTCCGATTAGGTGGGCCGCGTGGGAGAGCGTCTTACTGGTAAGTAAACATCCATCCTGTATTAATTATAGGTAAAGTTACTCTATTCACGGATGTTCGTTTCTTCATAGAACAAGTACACTTCTAAGAGTGACGTGTGGGCGTTTGGCGTGACGTTATGGGAAATATTGACGTTCGCCAGGGAGCAACCCTTCGAAGAGCTGAGCGATGAGAAGGTTATCGAAAATGTCACTCACTTCTATCAAGATAATGGCAAGCATGTGAGTAGTTCTTCCCCTGGTCAATGACAGCGAACACAGAAATAAATACACTTTCCATCACTTATGTTTAATTCACCAAAATCTCCTGATTCTAAATTGAAATCATTGACTTTAATATTATTTTATTTTTATAATATAAAATTTAATTATTAGTACAAATAAGAAATTACCAAATATAAGTAATTATAAATTAGATGAATATACAGTGGTGCCTCACACAACGAACTTAATTCGTTCTGTAGCATAAAATATGGTAAGATGACATAAAAAAAAGATAAATTTTTTGTTATTATTTTTATTTAGATACATCTAAAAACATAATGAAAAAAACACACATTTTTTAATTTTAAGAAATAATCGAATCTTGCACATCTTCATCCATTTTCCGAAGGATGCAATAAATCGGCAGTGATCGTGTGAAGTGGGCGACTTCGTTGTGTGAAGCGAAGTTCGTTGTATGAATCGTGAAATGAACGAAAAGGAAGTTCGTTGTGTGCAGCGTTCGCTGTGCGAGGCGTTCGTTATGCGAGGCACCACTGTACTTCCAAACTAGAAAAAAATACGAACTTGAAGCATAAGCGTTGCGAGAAACGATTCGACTTATAGTTACATAAAAAAATCCCTAAAATCTACTTAACACTAAAGGTGCTAAAAGTAAAGATAGCATCAGCATTATTTTTTTTTTTTTTCTAAAATATGTGTACCAAGGGTTTCCAAACTTTTTCAGTTTGCTGCGCCCTTAATATATCAAAAATTTGGAGCCGAGGCGCACAGTTTGGGAATCGCTGCTGTGTACAATATATTCTTCAGTATGTCCAAATATATTCTATATAACTTTGTCTTATCTGACGATTGAACCGATTTAACCCTTTGTTACCTGAACATACTTTTTTTTTTCTTTGAATTTCCTTTAAAACACATGTACACATGATGTAGCGGGCGAGCAATCGGGGCTATACAGAAGTGACATGTATTACTTGAATGTAGGTTTATACTCACTTGGTATTTCCAATTGCAAAATAAATCGTTTTTGCATATAAAGATTACATTAAAGTATCAAGAGGTATTTAGGTCTGTTTCACGTCACTTTATAACTTAAATGGTGACATAAATGTGCTGGTACTTATAAGTACCGTCAATCGAACAAGTGTTAAAATTTGTGAATATTTATTCTATTAATATTAAACAATCAATAACATAGAAGCAGAGCTTTCTTATTATTTATAAAATAAAGCGGCTCAGATTCTAGAGGATTTGACAGAAAACGAAACATTGAAAAATGTAATTTCGGTATATGTACAATGCTGGTATCTTCTGTGTTAATAAAATAGTTTATTTGTATATTTAAAAAGGTAAATAATAATAAAATAAGAATATATAATTGTTTTAATCATGAAATAATTGTTATAATTATGACTCAATAATGGTAGTAAGCAAAATATTTAACTTAGTTTAACTTAGGATGAGAAATTAATTTAGAAGAATTTGAATAATTTTGAACAAAAACACGAAAATCTATAACAGAAAATTATCCATTACCACAGTAATTCTCAAAGTGTGGGGTAAATATTTGGGAGGTCGCAAAAAATTAATGACAGATCAATTGAATGGATATGTTTTCTACACATATCCATTCTTCGGGGGTCGCAGAAACTTTGTATGTTCAAAAGGAGATCGCGGATCAAAAAGTTTGAGAATTACTGCATTACCCGACCTTATTTATTTGGTGGTTTTCAACTAATTTGTTTCTTATTAAAAAAAATAGTTTTACTTAAATAATTTAGAAGATATGATAATCATTAAAAATTTATATCAAAATATTTGTCATATTAATAAATAATATATTTGCATTTAACACAAAATATACTAGTATATTTCATATACCGAAATATAATGAAAATAAAATTGGCATGTTCAATATACAAATATATAATATTTTTCAACCTTCAATTTATTGATATTGTTTTGATATGCTCGGTGAAAAAGAGAATTTTGAAAAACTATCAAGATTTATTATTATTTATACGTCATTAAACATTTACAACCATTCAAAATAAAATATTCAGAACATTGAAGAAAATTGGAAATATTCTTCAATACAAATTTTCTTCAATGAAGAAAATCTTAGCAGCATATAAAATGTGATGTATCTCAGTACTGCCGTTTATTTCCATGAACCTGAGAGTTTTTAGAGGCGGATTTTTTTTTAATTAAACACATTATTTATTCGGAAAGATCGTTATAAAGTATACATTTTGCGGTTATATCTGTTTCTTTGGGTTCTTGTGTCAATAGGATCTTGTAGTCATGGAAATCCAGCAACGACAGGAAATCCTCCATTTAGCTATCATTTCACGAAGTGCTAGAGTGCGTGTTAGTATCAACAAATCAGCATAAATAGAACCACAAATGTAATAATAATATTTATCTTATTATATTAAATAAAAAATAATTAAAATAATCATTTTACAAGAAAAAATATTTTCATAAATAATAAATGATTTTGTATAATTATGTACCAAAACATTAGGAAAACATGTATATTCATCAAGTTAATTTGTATCTTTCGGTAATTTTCTTCTATTTATCGAGCGTGTTTTGTAAATTGTGATTTATAATTATGTTTTGTATAGGAAGTAAACTATGCGGAGCGCAATCCGAATTCCTGTTACAACAATGTACACTCGGGAATTCTGCGTTTGGCTGAACTCGATCACATGTCAAATAAACTACGAGCGCTCGCCGTACTAATTAAGCTATGGGTCTCACTTTTACTGTGAGAACCAGTTTACTGCTTTTCAATCTAGAACCTTAAATATAGCATATGGAATATATCCTCTATATCAGTGTTTCTCATACTTTTTGATTCGCTACCAATTAAAAAAATTAAAGTTCCCCCGATGAATGGGTCTATGTAGAAAAACGTAGACAAACATACTTATCAATTTATCTCCGATACCCCAAGTATTTTTTGCGACCCCCACTTTGAGAATCACTGCTCTATATTATATAATATTTATATATTATATTAAAAAATGAAAAAAAAACACAAATAGTTTAAGAATTTGTTCTCGAAATGTAATTAATGGATATGTACTATTATGATTCTAATTGAGTAGTGTATAATCAATAAGTACGATGAACAATGATTAGGAATGTGTCCTCATTTGTAATTTGGTGTGTTGATGAATGTATTTCTGTGTTCGTTGGTCAAGGGTTAATTTTATTACGGGAACGGAACTAATAGCCGGATTTGGGTTTCAGGCTTTACTAAATGTACCCATCAACTGTCCCAAGGAGATATTCGATCTGATGTGCGAATGCTGGCAGAGAAACGAGTCCGACCGACCGAACTTCAGGGAGATCCATTTGTTTCTGCAGAGGAAGAACCTAGGATACACGTCCGATCTGCACTGACGTTTACTACTAGCGGACATTAACGACAATAATATTAGAAAGACGTGATATATTTGCACATTTAATAAAGGCGGCTGTTTTCGTATTTTAGGTGTATGAGAGATTGTTATTAACGAAGTCGATATATATATAAATAATCTTGAGCTTGGATTTAACATTTTTCATTTGATTTTTGTCGCTGTGGTCCTCGATCTTTTTTTGCGTCTAGACAATTATATATGAAACATTTCGTAAAAGGAATGTATATCAATATTGCTGCTTATTATACTCTCTTTATATCTGCCTCTGCCTGTCTCGATACGTTTATGGAATCAGTTTAATTATTCAGAGCCTGCTTTGTATACCTTTCCAATATAGAGCTATTGGTTTTCTGCTCCAGTGCCTTTCACGTTTTGCACTCTTATGAGTATAATATCGCTGTTTTAGAGGACTCATGTCTAGGGCAAAGGGCAAAATAAATGGAAAATACAAACTAATTAAGTAAGAAGAAAATATATATTATATTACAAAAAAATACTCTCTTCCAATTTACTGGCTGGCGTTATAATTACAACATAGGGATATATCATTTATTTTCATTTATTGTACGGAAATAAAATAATTTATACTATATGAATGCCAATTCAATCAATCATAGTTATAGATAACGAAGAAATGATAATATATTTAAAAAAAATAATAGTTATATATACATATATAAGATGATAAGTTATATAATCTACAGCAGTTGTGCGACTGAACCAGCGAGTGCAAACTTTCTTTTGTGAAGAAGGATATAACCATATCATTTATACTTTGTTAAAGGGCGCAACATGATATGTAAATAATGTATGTAAGATTATTATCATTATTATATGCATGGACGTTTTGTTTTCAATTTTCTTTTTTATACTGTTTAATAAACGACAATGACGATGACGAATATGTATGAAGATAACAAAAGAAAATGAGATAAAAGATATACTAACTTATTATGGATTGTTAAAACTCTGGTAAAATTGGACCAAATAAAAATTGAGTACTATGAAACTCCGCAAATGATTTCCCCTGTAGTTTTCGGAGGAGGAAGAAAGAAAAAAAAAATGGCTGCAAGTTTTAATTTATTGCAGCAGCAAAGAAAGGGGGAAAGGCCTTCGGCGTTTGATGGTTGATGATGGCTGTTCGCATCAACGTCCCCCCTCTCCTTATCGCAATGATGGATTCCAGGCGCATATTTGCTGCCGAACGATATGCAAGAAGGAAATTAAAGATTTCGCGATAAGTGCCACTGCCTCGCGCAGCGTATCATTTTCATGTTTTAAGATTAATAACATTTGCACACTGTTTTTTAGGTTTTTTTTGTACTTCTTCCTCTACTTCGTTCTAGCGCGGCTTTGCAACTATTCGAGAAAACCGAAATAATCATAACCGAATCAAGAGCTCAATCTTAATCTTGCAAACGGCTGCAGCAATTTGTTTTTATTGCGTAACATTCTGCATTTACTTTTTCGTACTGAGAACTAGCCCAGATACTTCAGGTCATCGTTATTATGTTTTAGATAATGTCATCTGCTAATCTTATATAAGTAAAATTCAAGAATGTTGATGCACTTGAAATAAAGAGATGAAAACAAGTGTGTGTTTCTATATTTTGTAGCAATGTATTGCATTGAAATACTTTTATACCAAGATGAATATTTGTCTATTATAATAAAATTTAACTAAGTTGTTAGCTTGTGTCAAAGTTATGATTTTTTTATTGTTTATATGAATTATATTTCCAATCAATAGACAATTGTCTATAAAAGATATATAAGGTAAGTTATTTTTATATACAGCAATACCTCGTATAGTGCGGATTCGATCAGTGCAGTTTCACTATAGTATGGTTTCAAAATTTAAAAGCAAATTATAATTTAATTGAGTAAAATAAAAATAAATTGTAAAACATTAGTACACAACATATTTTTTTATACATAAATGACCTTTATTCCCTTTACAGTATTGTATATTTTTTTACGATTTCGAAGTCCTTGATTAGACTGGTTTCAAATAGTGCGGTATATTACACGTACTACGTGAGGTATTAAACTAAGTTATGTCGCATTAAGTAAAGTGCTTTGTATAAAGTTGCGTACATACAACTAGCGACACCCAATATTCAAAAAGCGTTTCAAAATTAGATAAATTGTGTTTCGTAGAAGAGGTGAGTGTAGATTTCTTAAGAACGTATATAAATAACTAACATTCTTCATTTACAATATCTCGAAAATATTCAGTTTGCATGAAGTTTTGTGCTGTCATTAATTTTTAATTATGAAAAGTTACTATTTAAGAAAAGGTAAAGACAACAACTGTAAAAATAACATATATAACGATACATACTTTAGAGTATTAAGTAAACAGTATCTATATTTAAGACTTATTATAACCTATCGTTGAATAAAGTTATTTAATATTAATTTAGCCATAAATGCATCTAGAATGAATCTTCGGTTATGTTTAAGATTTGAATAATCTGAAGTAGATCTTAGAGAAATTACAAAATTATATAAGTAGGTTCAACAGATTTATTATATAATATTTTACATTTTTTTATAACTTATTTATTAATAAATAATGATTTTGATACTAATCATTGAAATACTAATGTCAGAATGTGCATCTCTTGTAGTAATCGTTGAGATGAAGTGTCGATTATAATTCAATATAATTTCATGGAGAAGAGCAGAATGCATTTGAATAATTTAATCCTTTATGCGAAAGTAAAAATAACAACATGAAAGGGAGAAGAAGAAACAAGCCGTGTTCGCACGATGAATTCAGTAATATATTTACAATATTCGAAAGCTATTTGCATTTTGATATGAGAATTTTTGCATACTTTCAATACAACGTGACTGGCGTAGGGAATGCATGCATGTCGTGCCCTGCCGTGCCATTGTCACGTATCGTTTAAGATCGGCCGGACAGGGGAGAATGCAAGAACAAAAAAAGGAATCGAATATTGCACAATAATGCAATATTCATGGTACGTCGGCTGTACTATTTTAATTAAATATATTAAAATTAGAACTATTTTTTAAAATCTTACATTTATCATAAATATATTTTGTAACAATTAAATGCACTATTGAAGTGAAATAAAAGAAGTAATAAATTTATTCTTGAAACTGTTTTCAGAAATATCAATTTGGATTCCATCAGAATTACGCCACGCAGCAACCTTTCTAGATATTACTCAGACATTCGACATCAGGCATCATATACTACCCATATTGGGAGTTATTCTATATACAATTTATACGTCCAACCTACCAACAACTACATAAACTATAGTTGCCAGTAATGCTAATAATACTGTCATTTTATGATTAAATATAGATAGTTGCATCTGTATAACTTCAAAACAACTTAAAATGGCTAAAAATAAAATCTCAGTGCGATACCACTAGACAGTAACTTACTAGACAGTAGTAAAGACCCCATAGAGTAAAAAGGCATAATACTCTTAACTTTCCGTATTTATAGTAATTTGCTTTATAACACAAACATTTGCACACACAAATATTAAGTTTATTTTTGTGATGAAAATCATCTAGAGTCATTTGTCGCTTTCTTTTTCTTTCATTAAACAAATGTTAGTAGCAGTTTTGCACTCTTGTCAAAACTTGGATCATTCGCGAAAATTTCATCAAAGATTTCGATTATCGTTTTAAACAAGTTCTTTTTGTTCATCATTTTCAGAATCACAATTTTAGCGTTCTTCAATTCCTTGTTATGCCAGTTCTTGAAGGTCGTTGGTAAGAAACCTGCAGTAACTCCTTAATATCTACATCTTAAACAAGCATAGATTCTAGGTAAGCACATCACAGCGTTACTTCGGGAATAATTGAATTATATACGAATCAATGAAATGCCGCTATAATTTGAATCCGGGTAAATTTTAAGCTTTTTTAAGGTTTCCAGCAAACCGTGTTATATTAAATCAGTGTTAATTGAGGCAGCGCTAAACGAGATTTTACTGTACATATAATCTTTCCAATATAGATTCTCAAATAATTCATTTCTTGAACATACACCAAAAACACATCTGACTCCGAACAGAATTATGATTCCCAATCGAATACCCTTCATAGAAATCATTATTTTCGAAGTTCCAAAAATACATATATAATTTGTTATCTCAATTGTTTATATTTTGTACATAAATATGTTTATACCTATTTATTCTCAATTGTCTATATAATAAGTAATCATTATTTCAACACATTTCAGTAATTTTTATATTAATATAATTATATGTACAGTGGAACCTCGCTTCACAAGCAAAATAAATTCTAACAAAAAAAACTCGCTTTATGAGCGACATTTAGAATAACGAGATGTCCCTGAGTGTGCACCTGTTACATCATTTTCAAAACTTGTGTACACATATTATGTGTATTTTTGAATATTTTATCGATTTTTTTTATCCAACCATTATTATTATATATAAACAAACTATGTACGTTTACTTATATAAAAAATGTAAGTATTTATTAGTCATTCTAGTTGCATCTTAGTGTTATTTTGGATCACACATATTTCCAAACTCGTTAGGAGGAGGAGGTTTAATATTTGAATAAATGCAAATACATCTCAGTGTAAAATATACAATTTTCATGATTTCTGATCATTTCTTTAGTTCCACAATGTGAATAATGGTAAATGATTTTATCTAATTAATATGTAAGAGCTTTAATCAGTTTAATTTTCCAAGCTATCAAATGATAACTTTTTGTGAAATTAAAATCAACATAGCTGTCCTGATTCATATCTTTTTGCTTTTTTTAATTAAAATTAAATATTGTTTAGCGCCGAGTTTTAAAATAAGGGTTATGCTGTGGTTTAAATATTAACGGGACGTTGTTATTATTTAAGGTTAAATGAGGCTGGTAATGAAGACGGATGCGTAGGCCGTAACAAGCCGGCTTCCTGATTGTGGTGGTAAGACCGACCATTTATACCCTCTTTAGATTACACCCCTAATTTTGCAACACACACATAATCACACACTCACATGCACGCAAATTGATTATAAGATCAAATTGAGGTCCTGCAGAATCAGCGCGAACTTAGGAAAGAAGAACAGAAATTTAATTAGCGTTTTCGGGCAACAACGTATTAATGAGGCAATTATTGAAGTGGCCTGGAATTGGAACGAATGGAGGAAACGGAAATACTAAAAAGATATACGGTGTATGTTTAAGATATCTGTAAATTTTCAGTAATGAGATTCCAAGCTAAAAAGGGAGAGATAGAGATAGAGTGAGTGCAGAGAGAGAGAAGGAGAGTTTAGATGAGGGTAGTTTCTTCGGAATGGTGAGGGGGTGCAAGGGAGAGGTTGCTAACTGATTTTGTACATTTGTCTGGTAGACTAGCCCGAACCCAGCCACCATTTGGTCCAGGCCGTCTTCAGAGAAACCACTATTTCCGTAATTGGGTTATCAGTCCTTGCACGTAATTGATTTATTTCCTCTCTCGGCGGCAATTAAAGAGTTACGGCCGTACACAGTGCAAGCAGGCGGAGGCGACGAATTCTTTTGCGGATACTCTCGTTCGGCGTCGGCTGCCGGGCGCAGCAAATCTTTCTGGGTATTAGAAACACAATGATTTAATTTGGAAAATAAGCTGCTCATTTAGAACGGGGATCGTAATTAGATTATTCCTTTAAAACTTCCCGCGTTTTAAATGCCGGGCGGCGAGATGGAAGGGACGAGGGTGGACTTTTTAAATATTAAAAACTTTATACTTTGTTTTTCCGCATCTGGACCTGCTCCCATCATCCCAGTCAACCGCAAAATCATGAGCTTTCATATAAAATATATATAGTTAGTTTAAGTATGTGGAAAATACTATTCTTACAATAATTTTTCGGTAAAATAAATCGAAGTTTAACCTTCATTTCTTTCACTTTCATTTTACACTATAAGCATTATTATTATTATTATATTTTTTTATTTCGCTTGAACTGCTCCAAACAGCGCTCGGAATCATCAACTCGTTGT